ATACAGCCTTTGCTTCTCCAGATTGAGAAGTCACAGCTGCGATGGCTTGGGCATGTGTTGCGAATGCCTGTGGAAAGGAAGTCTAAGCAACTGTTCCTTGCAAATGCGACCGGCAAAAGACCCAGGGGACGGCCAAGATTAACTTGGTGCAAACATATGGAAGGAGTCTGTTCCAGACTCCAGTTGTCCATTGCGGAATCTCAGACTCTGGCACAGGATCGGGAACGTTGGAAGCTCTGTCTACCGCGTGTGCCTCCCCTACCCGAAAGGAGAAGCGGCGATTGAAAATGAAGATGACGACCGTGATTCTTATTGGTGACCATCATTTAATACGTGTTACGGTTTAAGATCCAAAAGTATGCTTCATCAATGGTCGTTTTGTGCTAAATCGAGTTGGAAATGTTTGGCGTGCAGCTTGTAGGGAAACAGTAGTTACCATATTTGGTACGCTTTTAAGATTTGTATTTTTGGAAAAATAAATATTTTGCTTGTTGGAATGAAATTATTAATTTCAACGAACTGCCTATGACAATAATATGCGGATGTTCATAGCATGTACGTATGCATGCATGAGTAACTGTATGAGGCCTTACACCTGCATGCATGGAAACGTCTCAAAAATATATATTTTGCAGTTTATTATATCTTTATATTTTGCATTTTTAGTTGTCTTCTGCCGAAGCTCAGACTCTGGCACAGGATCGGAAACGTTGGAAGTCTCTGTCTGACGCGTCTGCCTCCCCGACCCGAAAGGAGAGGCGGCGATGGTAGATGACGATGAAGATTTGTATTTTTATGTTACGTATATTTTAATAAAGCATCCCTATTAAGATGTTTCTGCTTGAATGGCATCAGATGAACGCAGTCTTAAGCATGAAGTTCAATCACTATGATGTATAACGCTTACTGAAGCTCAACCAACATGGCGAATTACATTTTGAGGTTCTCAGTTTGTGCTGCAAGCAATGTGAAATTTGTCCAGTTGCGATTTTACATTTTTCCCAGATTCGTATAAACGAAAAACAGAATTTCAACCAGGTCAAATAACGTATATTTCTACTATTCATCTGCTCAAGCGATTGGCATTCAGATGACGATGAAGACAGTAATACAACATAAAATAAATAGTTTTTCGAATCAGCTATTCGCAGCACGTTTTGAAGCATGCTGACGTTTCAGTTTAAGAAGCCTTTTAGAATCTGGTAAACTTTATTTGAATTATCAAATGGAACATCAAAATGAAAACAAAAAATGGGACGTACTTTTACGAATTCAAAATGTACAGAGCTGAAGTATATAATGTGTTGTTCATCTGTACAAAGTAGCTCGTAAATGTAAGTATATAGTGCTTCGTATTCAGTATTCGAATGCGTCATTTTCTCCAATGATATGAAGTGCATTGAAAACAATAAAGTGCACTAGTCGCGATGAACAGGCCTACTTCCAAGCCGCAGCAGCTCTAAAATTAAGCATGAGAGATTAATGCATAAATTTACTCAATATTTACTCCAATCCATCCAAATAACTCGGTAGTTTGAGAGCCGGAACGCAAAGAAATGGTAATTCCGATGCCAGCGCATAATAACCACGCACAAAGTCCTCCGCAGCAACAGATCGTTTCCTAAATTAGCACAGTGCCATAAATATTGACAGAGGTGCATGACATATTAATAATAATATACAGTCCTCCTGATTTCTTAATGACATGATTTCCTTTGTACATCTTAGCCCATGCACTATATCTTACATCTGATGCACATATCATTTCCGCCTTGGTACATTTACGATTTGAAGATGGGAGACTGACGTCTTCACAGTATTTCAGTCCATTTGATATATATGATCATAATTTATTTTCGGTTTGTGTAACATCAACTATTTTATTTACACTTGCGGCTTTGATCCCTCACCTTACGATAACCGTGAAAGCAAACAGCTGAGCCCAGTGTAAAATGACTGTTGGAACTGGTGTTTAAGCAACCTAGCACTACCGTTGCTTTTGGCGTGAAACAAGCTGAAGGGTTTGTATTGGTTCATTACACATTGAATTAACTCTATTGCTTTCGGATTTAGTAGATGTTGTAATAGAAGTTTTACTTTAGTAAGATTACCAAGACGCCAATGAGAAGTCTACTTTAATGATTTTATGATTAGATAATATTCAGAATAACATATCTTATGAATCTCAGCAGGAAAATTACGCTTGCAGATCTGTGCCGTAAATAAGCGATAGAACAATTCATAGAACAAGAGCTTATCAAGATGGGCAATAAAGAAGATTGCGATATTTCTAAATGCCAATTGCTTCTACCATCAATTCGTCGAATTTTGGAACCCAGCTACTTTCTTATAGCTGGAGGGATGGATAACAAAATCGAGTAATCCTTTATTAGACTCTGCCGCCTCTGCCAAATGCTTTGTGAAGAAGCTACCTTGAGATCGTACCTGCAATTCTCAAATCCCCTGAAAACTTGTCGGGGTCGAATTGCTGGCTGGTCGTTCCTAGCAGGATTTCCAATGGCAGATTATATGAAAGGTATCAGCTCAC